AAAGTTATTTCAAACGTCTGTTACAATGTTGGTTTATTCGTATACCGTTTTATAGTGTGATATGAAGATCTGAGGGAATCTTTAATTCATATAAGGTAAGAATGAAAATAACAGAGTAGTAAAAGTTATGTTACGTCCCGAGAGCTACGGTTATGTTCGTACACGGAGATCAACAGCCACGGCCAGTGATGATTTAAGGATGATAAATTAAGAGACGAAGAATACAGTTTTATACATTTTTTATGGAAGAGTAGGGCAAACGAGCCAACGGGTGAGCTGATGGTAAGGAACTATCGCCGCATGAACCCCTGTAGCTCAAGAGTCACAAGAGCATTGATGCCATGCCATTCATCTCTGCAGAGACAGGAGGAAGAAGGGATTGTTAACACTGGTTTTCTGTGAGGCCTTGGTATCAGTCCTGGCGAGCTGGCTCAAATGTGGCTGGCTCCCACGTACAATGTGTCACGAATTATGCGCATTAAAGATGGTGATAGTTTTTGTCAAGTTAATTATTTATGAAAGAGACAACTCTCAAGAATCTGTTTGAAAATTTTGACAAAAATATATCTAGTTATAAAAAGATACTTAAAAAACATATCTAAATACGATAACAATCGTATTACAAGTAAGAGTCGCGTGAGCGTAATAATAAACCGAAAAAAAAACTCTTTGAAAACGAACAATACAATGCTTCGACCCGACAAATCGGTTCAAAGGGAACGAAGCATATAATTTTCACTCGATACCGTACCCGCTACTTGCAAATCCATTTTGAAATTCAAAAATAAAGCAAACTTTAACCCATCCAAGATTAAGCTCACTTTCGCTTGTGAGACATTCGAGTGTTATCAATAAGACTACTGGTATTACGTTCCAAGGAGAAAGATAATACAGACTTCAAATCGTACCACCCAAGGTTGAATTTCAATTGTTTATTTTTGATAATCCATCTGGTTATTTACAATGTCGCATAAGAAAGCTTCCGAGAAAGGAGTTCGGAATGAATTTTTATTTAATTTTCGAAATTCTTTTTTTGTTTAGTGAAAGGGAATGGCGGTTCATTGATGTCTGGAAATTGAAAAGGGTGTGTTTATTTGCTTTTGCTTTATTACTAATTCTTATAAGTTCGTCAACTACCTATTTACTTCTGTATAAGAATATTAAGACCTATACTGAGCTCTTTAAAAATAAGCAACAGTGAATTTTCTAATACTTTTTTTGCGTAGGTATTTATTGAAATCGAATAGATCAAACTTGCCAAAAATAAACATGTAAAAAAATACTAACAGAACACTTGAAGAAGTTGGCCAAAAAAAAACGTGAATGTTTTTCAAGAACTCTTTACAACTACTAACTATAAAATAATCTATTAATTAGAATTCTGACAAATACGGATTAAGTAAACAAATAATAAATTTTACCTTTAAAACCATCCCTTCAAAGAAATACTTTAAATTCCAATCTAAGACAAGCTTGATAAGGTGGAATATGTAATAAAAAAAATTAGATCTAATACTGCCATATAAAATTGAAGATTTATTTTAACAGAGATAAGTATCAGAATCAATTGCACATCAAACAAGAGGGTGAACTCTCCATTCGTCGGCATCCCAATTTATTTATTTTATTTACTTCTTAAAAAGTATGCAAATTCAAATGATTCTTCCCGATTGATGCTTTGTCGCTAGATTATCAGGTGGCTATATATCTGTCTCATTTTTTCATCGCAGTTTCATCTACATCTGTACCGCTTGCACATTTTCGTAATAATGAAAACAATTTGGTGTACCCGTATTCAATTTGGGAAAACACAATTAGGTATAATAAAATTATACAGATTTGTGCTAACGTTTTGAATCAACGTAAGAGGATTTTTTTTCTAATTTTACCTGCGGTTTGTCCCCTTTAAATTAGGGAGAAAAGTAAGCTATTGTTCGCGGTTTTCATCGTATTAAGTACTCGTACTTATCGGGTATAAATCCTGTATAAAATTGATTACATTATAAATGCGGCCACGACTGTTTCTCTCTATTTCTTATCTGTAAAAAGTTTATTTTCGTGTTCTCATAAAAATACTGCTATGTTTTTTGTTTTCAAGTTTTGTAACCGCTAGAGTCTGATAATCTGAAATCTGTTGAAATATTATTATGTATTTTAACTTTGACTGCTATTTCCTGCAGCATTTGAAGTTGCAAAGCACACGATAAAATTGATTTGTTATGCGCTAGTTCCTTCTTAAAAACAATGTTATTGGTTTCCATAACGTATTCCCACAGTTTTTAAGCAAAAATGGCAACTTCTCTTTAAAAGAATGTTTCGTTGTCTTCACTGTAGTCAAGAAGCAAATCTTGAACGATATTATTATAAGCGTCCACAGACACAAAATTAATGAATAATTACAAAAAATAATTACGCTTTAAATGTCATATCAATAAATCACTGCGCACACACCAAAGCGAACAAAAGCCCACCCAAAAAAAGGACCAGATATCGGCACACTTTAATAGTACCTTAACATGTACTCCTACCCTGCAATAAAAATGCCATTCGAATTATCCTCACAGTAAAATAGCCTAGTGTATCACTCACTTGAATTAGCATTAAGCTTTTTAGACTAAGCGATATGTTGGACTGTAGTACGTTGCTGGAGGACTTTGCTTGGATGAATAATGTCCATTTAAAAATATAGAAGTCAAGAATATTGTGGTTATCCCCATTTAAGTCATGAGCACATTCTATGACGCGTGATATAGATATCATTTTGAAGGATACACTACATGTCCGACCCCTCGGACTTCTCCGCAAAAGACATACTCGACATAAACTTCCAATCAGGAGCCTTCTATTTCTTTTTAACCACCTCAATAAACTCCCAATTTAAGTATTTCCGTAGTTGACGGTATTAGGTTTGGGTGATTGGAATCAAATTAATGTATGTTTAAAATTAATGTATATAGGAGTACAGAAGTCAATCATAGAATCAATCAATCAGAAACATAAGTGTTTTCACACTATGTTATTCACTCCCGATTGTGAATAAAGTAATCAAACCTTAAACAAAATGAGTCCAAGTAACTATACAAAATATATACTTAGGTACCCTAAAATAAATACCTTTAATTAAGTTTACTTTCGAATTCTTCTTCTTTTCTTCTTAAAAAAGACATTAGGAATATATCCTGTGTCGCGGGGGACCTTACAAACATACATAAAACGGACACTAAGAACACCCAGACTCAGAACAACAACTTGTAGATCACACACTGTCGTCCCATGTGGGGTTTGAACCCACAACACTCGGCGCAATAGGAAGCGGCGTGGCGACCACTTAAAGCACTGCGCCATGCGTGCAGTCAAAATTGACTGTGGTGGATTCGCAATACTACCAGAATACAAAACTCATTAGGAAAGTAGAATAATAACAGTAATATAGTGTAACAATCTTGGCCCCTAACCCTAGTATCCTCAGTAATATAACACCAGTTCACCTTTATAAGCACATTAAACTATGCCTTCACCAGATTGATTCCGCGTTCCTTAACCTTTAGAGAAGAGACGCAGCTCTAGTAATCCTACTATACAGCTTTAGTAATAACTATAATAATTAATACCATAAACCGTTATATCAACGTTACACAATTATTTACTAGTCAATATAATTCCTATGACCCAATAAACATAAATAGAAATAAATCTAATAGTTCACGAAACCATTAAAGTTGCTAATTATAGGAAGCGATATAGGTACTGTAAATAATTCGTACTTCAATAAACGGATAAAATAATTTTACAGGATCGTATCGGATCCAAGAAATCGTATCGTACGATCTAAATGTATTGTGTACTAAATTTTATAGTTGTATTGTTTTATTAATATCTATCTATAAAAAATGTTACCCACTTTATTTTTACGGAGCTTATATCTTTATGTGTTTTGCCAGCTTTATCAACATGCTAAGTTTATTGTGTAGATTTTATTTTATTATTTTTAAGATCATTACAATAGTGGTTCTGTTCATGTCATACCTCATGAATAGTACTTTGGCAAAGGTAATGTTTTTTATAAAAAGAAAGAAAAGAAAGAAAGAAATGTTAATACGAAGAAAGATGCAAGGTGTAAAATCAAATGGCGGTCTTCATAGTGTAGTGTACCTAGGTGATTGTCATCTATTCAAATATTCACATCAACAGCCTTTACTAGTGCTCTGCTTTACATAGGCTTAAAAAGCAGGATTTACAAATATTCAATACAAATAAATAAAATTAAAGTTTCTGTTTGTAATACGAAAATAATATGTTTTTTCATGCTCACACAGTTATACCAGGATACCTATGCCTAAAAACCAGTTTAAATATTTTTTGCTTGTCTATTTGTACCGGGTAATCTTCAAAACGGCTAGACTGATTTTGATAATATTTTACTACCAGGTAGCTGTCTATATAAGGAGTAACTTGGGCCGTTTTTTCTCTCAGACAAACTCTATAAAATTTATTTTCAAATTTTACGCGAACGAAGTCGCGGGCAATTTGAAAAGAAATAGTAAATATATATTATACAGAGTGTTATAGACACACTCCATATTGTAATAAGGGCGCTATGTCTAATCGATAATTGGGTGATTTAATCTTGAATAAAAAAAATTGCTAAAAAATAGTACAGTACCTCAAATTTCTTGGCATTTTCTTATTATTTATTTCTTACTGAATTAAGTCGCAGGTGTCCATGGGCGGTGGTATTCACTTACCATCATATGACCCGTCTGCTTGTTTGCCCCTATACTATAAAAAAAACGATCCCAAACTTTGACCATACCTCTTAGTAACACTCTGTATATATTTGTACTCGTGTAATTATGTATTTGAGGGAAACTTGACTAGTTTCAGGTCTAAGATATTGGCTAAAACCAGTATTTGCCCGCTTTAGAACAACTGCCACCTCCCTCCCCCCCTTTAACATAAAAGTGATAGCCTATTTCTAATTGTCTTCTTTTTATTTACAGACGGATGCACCATCAGAGAAGACGGAAGAATCTGAAGGTTCGATATTCTCTTCAATCATTCCGGCCAAACTTTCCGGTTCCATTTGTACCGCTGTGCTGTTCATGCTGGGTTGGAAGCTGTTCTCGACCAAACGGTGAACGGCTTAAATGAAGTAAAGAGTGCTGTGAAGGATATGGTATAGAAATGTGTTATTAGAATAAAAAACGTTATTCATTTCGTTATATTTTTCAAAACTGTATACTATTTTTTTTCATATCTGTTGAGAAAATCTATTATACATACCATCATTATCATTTACTTACATATTACATTATATTTATTACAATTATTTTATTAATGACTGGGTATGTCAAGGCTTTATTATTACGGTCTACTTCTAGAAGAAGGCTTTCATTTTCTATCTATGTCTAAAATTCAATTTTTTTACTGTGACTTTCAAACAATTTTTTCTAATAAACCATTTCTATTATTAATAATAAGCGTAGAAAGAATAAAGCAAGTTTTATTCATTTAACTACGCTTTTCAATTGTACATTTATTAACGATTATTATAATAATCCACAGTTTTGTAATTAGACGTAATAATACACAGTTTTTTTTTTTCAAAAAATGGTGTATTTGTATATCGTCTGTCTATGCGCACATGTATATTTTATATTATGATGTAGTGTTTTCTAAAAAAATAAAAATGTTTGGTCCATGAAAAAAACAGACACGCTGCTACAAAATTGTATAAAAAGCTTGAGGTAGGAAATATTTGGACTGATTATTATTTTCTGAGAGAATATATGATTCAAGTTTTTTATTACTATTACATAAAAATATTTTTGTAATCCGAAGGTGAATACTTTTTTAAATTAGAAGTTTAACATGTAGTGTAAGCAATGGTTTTATGAAAAAATAAATTCACATTAAGTCACGCGATGAATTAAAATATTTAGCACAAAATTAAAAAAAAAAAAATCACTTCCTAAAATTACTGACGGTCGTGACATATAAAAAATAACCTAAACTAGTAAAAAATTAAGTCTTAAATTGAATTGTCAATTTACATTCCGCTTTCAATGTTGATATTATAGCCGTAATTATAGTTAATATTATGTATAATTATACATTTATATAATACTGAATTCAGAAGAATGGACCAGCGATGTTATAGAAAAATAGATTTTATTTAAAACATGACAAAGTCCGTTTCCCATAATTTGTTCCAAAGAGAGCAGCCTAAAAATTATTATCGATTGATCTCATTTTTTATTTTTTTTGTGTATTGAAAATGTTTATTTTAAATATTGTAGTGTTTAGACCATTGTATGGTGAGTGCCAAGTTGTTTCAATGGAGATTTTATGAGATGGTATATTTTGATAATTAGTATCTTTAATTCATAGTATAAAACTTAGTTTTAGTGATTAATGACTAGCTGCCATGACTAATCCTTCAACAATACAAACTAAACTGATCAAAAATTAATTAAATTAAGAACAATATTCAGTCTACTTTTCGTAATGAAATTAATTTGAAAATGATGTATAAAAATATGTCTATTAATCAAATTCAAATTCTTCAAAAAAAAATTTTTTTTTGTTAAAATGATTTATTATAAAAGAAATTATTAATAAATGGTATGGCACTATTTTATATATAGTTTTAGCTTTTGTGAGATTGTATTATGTATACAAATACTCTGTTAGTTTGCTAGAAGGTAACTCGTAAAATTAAGTTGTACCCGAGGCTTTGAAGGTTATTTATGTTTCCAAAACAATATGAAACTAACATAAAACAATAACGTAAAATAATAAAACGTGATATGTTATTTTTATGGCATGATGTATGGGAACAAAATGTTACTTTTGGGAGCAAAGTGGTTGGTTTTTTTTTTTGAGAGCATGTTTTTGATTTATTACGTAAATTAATTTTTAAGTAATAAAATATACGGAAGAATGTGTTCAAATGTGATATGTATTTATTTAAGAAAACGATTAAAATAAAAAGAAGTTTTCCGAATGATCTCTTGGAAACTCTTATCTGCTATTATATTTTTTATAATTTTGCTGAAAAATAAATGTTTTTTTTCTTCGTTCTTAATTTCAAAAATTTACTTAGTATGTATTTTTTTATTTATGGACCACACTGAGTAAATACTAATAATAAAAGCAAGAATATTACTCAGTAAAATAACATAGTACTAAAACATATTCTATAAATAAGATTTTGTTTTTCAGCAAAAATATAAAATCGGGCAAAAAAAACGCATTTAAGAGTTTTGTACATAAATTAAAATTGGTATGCTTATTGCTCTTTTTATAAGAATATAATCTGTAGTGCAAAATTTTCGAAATTTCAATAGTAATAATGCTTAACATGAAAAATAAAAAGTGTGTATAAAATATGCAAAAATATTTTTTTATTTAATTGAAAATATTAAAATCACGATTGAAATAATTGTAAACTTTTCACCAAGTAGTCAAACTATTTATATTAATTTCATTTTTTAAATGTTAATATTAATATTTTTCCAAGTTTTATACAGACTAAATAATCTGCTTACCGCTTATCACATTGTAATTGTAACAGTAATTAAATTAATTATAATGATGAAATTTTAAGCAATATCAATTGTATTGTAATTACTCATAGTTATGTAAGAATAATCTCATTACCGAAGTCTTTCTTAATCATTTACAAACAAAAATGAGCAATAGAAAATTGCTGTGGAAATTCCATTTTTGTTTAGTAGGTTATTTTAGTAAAATGTGTGATTTACACTATGTATAAAAATGGCCTGTATATTTTAGCTAGTTTAAGGTTCATATTAATCCTTTTTTTTTAGTTTAAGGCACTTTTATTTAGCATGTTTATGTGTAACAGTCATTCGGTCGTACCACTTGACTTAAGTAATTTAGTTTGTATGTCTTTCAGATCAACTGCCAATATTATATCCGTGTTTTGATATTTCTTTATTTGAAAATATACTTTTTATAAAATATTTGTGTGTTTTTATTAGTCATCGTTTAGTCATTTTAATTTCTAATCAGAAATACTTCTCGTAGTTTTTACAAGGAAACTATTGAATTTTTTCGAGATTAGATATACTATTCAGTCAGACTTGCTTTAGGTACTCAATAAGTTTGATACAGATGACATAGTGGTTTGTGTAACGGACTACTATTTCAAATGTCGCGGGTTCGATTCCCGCTCAAGTCAAACATTTGTGTGCATGAACTTTTAATGTTTGATTTGGTCTGGATGTTCCTATTTATAATATGTATGTATTTACAAAAAAAATGTAAAACTGTATTTATATCAGTTGTCTTGTAGCCACAGTACAAGCTCTGCTTAGTTTGGGACTAAATGGCGTTGTGTGTATGTGGTAGAATATATATTATATTATTATTATATTACACAACATGTAAAAGCCACCACTTATAAGTTGAAAACTTTTTTCTTGGGGGATGGCATTATCGGTCGTAATATTAGGTTATATGAATTCGCAATTAATGGTGTTTATTTAATATTAACAACTTTATTTGCCTATTCATATAATACTACAATACATTATTACTTAAATGTGAATGTGGTAATATATTATATTATATAAGAATAAGTAAGATATATTTGTAGGTATGCATAAGTAGGCAGAAACATTTTAAACAGCCATATTATAATAACTGTAATTTAAACCCACTTGATGAGATAATCACAAATTCAACCATTTCACAAAAAATTCAACCATATAATCAAAGAAAATAAAGAAGTGATATTAAAATTTCATGGCATGTCACACACATTGCTTGAAAAGTTATGATGTTGATTGAAAAGCTTGTTAATACGAAGATGATATTGGCACTTAGCAAGAGGCAATAACATAAAAAAAACAGTAGCGCTCTGGGAGTGCCGACAGAAGTGAAAACTTGTTTTTTAGGGTTCCATACCTCAAAAGGTAAAAAAGGAACCCTTATAAGATCACTTTCTTGTCCGTCTGTCCGTGTGTCACCACCGATTTTCTAAGGAACGGGAAGACCTAGTAAGTTAAAATTTATACCAAATACTGAGGTCTATGTTCCCTATTAGGTGTATAAAAATCAAGGTCCTGAGTCAACACGATTAAAATATATGGACAAATTTCGATTTTCACGAAAACTTGTAAGTACCAAAAATTTTATTTCTACACGACTAATAGAATTAAAATTGACTTGCATTACTATAGAACCCGTTTGCTCAAATACACCTACTGCAAATGCAAACAATCCGTTACCACGTCACCTTGCTTGTTCTTCAAACTATGTAACTTTTCTTCTTTGCTATGACGTCGATGATCCTTCAAAATGCTAATCAAACATAATATTAAAGTGTATCTTTAATGTATTATTGTGTATTTAATATTTTTTTGTAATAAAAATAAATAAATCATTTCCTCAATAAACGTAATATATTTTCAACTACCGATATTTATACCGATGCCAATGGCCACTCGATGGCATCTCAATAGCGTGTCAGTGGTATGACACTGGCTTGGCGTGAACATAAAATAGCAGAATTGAGGCCCCGGCCCTCTGATCCCAAACTTGGCAGAGCCTGCGCTATTTTAACTAGATTGCTAAAAAAAATACTGATATATTTCTAAATACTTACGTATAATAGATAAATTCTAAATAGATAAATAAAAGATGACTGCACGGATGGCGCAATGGTTTAAGCGGTCACCACGCCGCTTGTTCTTCGCGGAGTGTTGTATGTTCGATCTCCAAATGAAACAACACTTTGTGTGCTCCAGAAATTGTTGTTCTGAGTCTGGATGTTCTTTGTGTCCGTTTCATGTATGTTTGTAAGTCCCCCGCGACACGAAAGAAAGAAAGAATAAATAATACTCAGACACAGAACAAAATTATAGGGCTCATCATACAATTACTTATCCTGGGTGGGCATAGAAGACACTGGACCAACAGGCCACTCAAGTTCGAAGTCATCTTTAGAAGTCTGATTTATGTTCTATTACTTTGTATTTTATTTAAGTTTAAAATAAATCTATCGACATAAAACTACATTACACTATCTAAGGGTGTGCGTTACCCCAGCAAAATAATGTCGAAAATGGTCATTTAAACTTTATAGATAATTAGTTGCTCCCCTTCTGTA